CCCATATTTACGGACAAGCTTTAGCAGATCGTCCCCCAGACACTCGCGTTGAAAAACATAAAAAACATCTACAGACCTCTTTGGCAGCCAATGAGTTAACTGATGCATCAAAGCTTCACCTGTCACATGTTTTCCATCATTTTCCAGCACAACATTGGGAATCTCCATTTGGGCCTCATTTAGATTTACCAACCAGCTCTACATCGTCTAGCTTTTGGGTTTGGGTTGGAGACATACAGGCAGTTTTAGGTTTAGAATACAAATTCAATACAAATTATTTACTTTGCATTTATAAATTTCGCAGACAGTTACAGACACAAGGAGGAAACTAAACTATTAACTAAGGTTCCTGGTTAGTTTTAGGCATACAAAAATGACTCAAGAAATTATTTATTTGCATAAAATTTGACAGATATATATACAGTGGGGGAAATAAGTATTTGAGCCCTTGCTGATTTTGCAGGTTTGCCCACTTACAAAGAATGCTTATTTTTCCTCATCAGATGGTTATCAGTTTTTATAAATTCATATGATGTGATTTTTCTGGAATTTTCTTTGGGATTCTGTCTTTCACTGTTAGAATGTACATATGATTAAAGTTATAGATCGTTGCATTCTTTGTAAGTGGGCAAACCTGCAAAATCAGCAAGGGGTCAAATACTTATTTCCCCCACTGTATAGATTTTTACCGTAATAAAAATAAAATAATTACTTTAAATATATTACTTAAAAGGATCTTTAAAACAAAGGTGAACCAGAGAGGTTTCCTATCTCTTTTGCAATTCCTACCGTTGTGCAGCGGGACATGAAGTGCACACTCACTGTCGGGTAAAGTGTCGTAATAATCTCTTGATTCTTTATCGACAGTTTGCCCTGAGATTAGTAGACAAACATACACAACAACAGATCAAAACCAGGGGAGGGGGGGGATGCTGGGCCCAGCTGGAAACAGACAATAAGAGGAGAGACGATTGGCCCACACTCTGCAATACTTAAGTATTGCAAGTAGAAGTATTTCAAAAATTGCTACTCAAGTATTGAAAGTACAAGTAGCCTATAAGTAAAAGTACAAGTACTGTGTATATTAAAAAAAGTCAGTCTAAAGTGTGATAGATATTGTTTATATTATTTCAAACGTGTGAAAGGCCATACAGGTGTTTACAAAAACAGAAAACTACATCTGCATTAGCATCAACAGCACTTCATCTGCTATTATTTATTATTCCAGAGTCAGAATCCTGAGCTGAGCCTTTATGCTAGCATGTAGCATACAGCTAGCCAGCTAGGTTAGCTTTAGCTAACGCTATCATACAGCTAGCCAGCTAGGTTAGCATTAGCTAACGTTATCATACAGCTAGCCAGCTTGGTTAGCTTTAGCTAACGTTAGCTGCTACGTCCTGAGTGAACAGGGCAAACTGAACTAGCGCTTATGTACTAGCTTATATGTCACTGTATTTTTTTATTTACCTTGATATAAGTATAAAGCGTCGTGATAATCTCTTGATTCTTTATCGACAGTTTGCCCTGAGATTAGTAGACAAACATACACAACAACAGATCAAAACCCAGCTGGAAACGAACAACAAGAGGAGAGACGATTGGCCCACACTCTGCGGGTCCCCAATTACCGACACAAATTTGTGTCTGAGCCTCGGAAACGAACCAGATTTGGTCTCAATGAAGATTAGAAAACAGAATTCCTGCTGCGAGCGAGTCGTTTTTTCTTCTTTTCTAATCCAGAGATTTCCTCCTTCATAACAGGCATAGATTACAACAGGCAGGGAGCAGGGTTTGTGTCTTTTGTTTCATCCATAATGCTGTAAACTCAAGTTTTTTGCTCTGAGGGCGAGGTTTGGCAGCTCTGGAGATTTTATTTTTTTATTCCTGATGCTCACACTTGCCGTTGTGCTGCCAGACACACAAACTGAGTTCAGACATCGTGTCCTTGGCTGAAAAAAGAGATTCTGCCTTCGCCCTGAAGCCCCGACTCCTCTGTCTGCAGCATATTAACCTTAAGCGAAGGAGTCTGGAAAATGCCCGACAGCCTCTTTCTTTTTGAAACATTTTTATTTATTTATTTATTTATTTTTTACCTTGTCATGTTCAGCATTAAGGCAGCAGAACTCAAATCTGAGTATTCTGAGTGCTACGCTGAACTAAATTTGCTTTGCCAAGGGAGGCTTTGTCAGTGAGAAGCCCCCTTTGATTACCCAAAACTGTTTTAATTTATTCTTTTTTTTGTTACCAAACTTACATGTGTCCAATAATGCTGAACCTGACAGAGGGACAGGGAAGAAAGAAAAAGCAGTGGAAAGGAAAAAGATCCTTTAGACAGAAAGAAAAGGGAAATAACTAACTAACTAACTAACTAACTAACTAACTAACTAACTAACTAACTAACTAACTAACTAACCAACTAACTAGCTAGCTAGCTAGCTAGCTAAATAACTAAATAAATAAATAAATAAACAAACAAATAAATAAATAAATAAATAAATAAATAAATAAATAAATAAATAAATAATTGATAAATAAATAAATAAATACATAAATACATAAATACATAAATAAATAAATGAATAAATAAATAAATAAATAAATAAATAAATAGATAAAAGGAAAAAGAAAGAAAGACAACAAAACCATACAACCATCTCTTTGTGGGGAATCCGGGTGGAGAAACTGTAGGAGCTCCTGTAAAAGGACTCAGGGAAGACAAAAGAACAAAACAAACAACAAAAGCAACAACATGCTAGCAGAACATTAGTGATCTTCTCATAGCACAGAAGCTTAAGGAGGCCTGTGTCCGGGTATCTGACTGAGTAAGAATGAGAAGTTTCTCAGGTTGTTCTCAGTCATGGTTTTCTCGTCTTTCTCCTTCTGCAGAAAGTCGGCTGCGACAGAGAAATTGGCTCCAACAAAGTGGAGGACAAATGCGGAGTGTGTGGAGGAGACAACTCACACTGTCGCACCGTTAAAGGAACCTTCTCCAGAACCCCGAAGAAACCCGGTAAGAACACGAGGATCCTTTATTCCTCTCTGACAAGGTGGAACTCAAACGGAGATCGAATAAAAAAAGACTTTATTAACTCAAAACGCACTCGCAAAGGAGTGGAAGCAAAGTACAAAATAAAGATCACTCAACGAGGATGTTTAGAAAAGTAACAAATCAGGATCACTCAAAAAACGAGGATAGCAAAAGCTCATAAACAAAGAAACAAAATAATACTCACGGGGAGTCAGAAAAAAACGAGGAGGATCAAAATCAAATGACGAGGTTCAAGGCTTCAAGGATTAACTTAACTTAGACTTCTTTAGACGCGAGATGAATATGCTTGTTTTTGAAAATTAATAGTTAGAATTTGGCTATAATTACTCACTTTAGCATTGTATGCTATCACATGACCTACGTTAATTATTGATTTTTATTGCTTGCCAACCTCCTCGTCCTCTCGGCTGAAATCTGGAGAAAGAATCTGGAAGAAAAACCCCAAAATACAGGCACAAATCTCCAAAGATCTCAGAAGTCAATCAAAAATAAAATGTGTTGAGCAGGGAACTGTTTTCAGCCGCAGATAAATCTGTTTTTTACAGGAACGGAGCAATGCACCTGCTGTATTTTTACATAAAAAAGAAGCCCGCTCCTTCTCCCAGGTTTAGTCTTTTCTCTTTTCCAGTCACTGTGGAGCATAAACACATCAACCTTTTGGGCGTTAGTCCAAAAAACGCCGTCAGGCTCTGCTGCTCAGAGGAAAATAACATACTCACTCACATAATTGAGTTTTCTGTGTGGTTTCAGATGCACCTTAATACTCCAGCTAATAAAAAGCTGCTTATTTATTCAGGCTTTATGTAAACGGGCACAAACAGGGATGTTAGCACCCCCGACAATGGATAAGCCGGTTATGAGAGGGATTCAACCTCGAGAAAACACAGTTCGACGTGAATTACATTTAGATTAAACGTCGGGTTTAATTACTCTTCTTCTTCTCCTCAATAGCTCTGATGAGAGAAACGTGTAAAAAAAAATTATTTCACTGAAAAATATTATCAGAGTGCTACTGTCAGTTCTTCCTTTTGCTTTCAATCACGCTAAAGACGAGTTTAAAGGCTTGAATGTCAACCCAATCAACTAAAAAAAACTACTTTTGAAAAGGTGGGAAAAAGCACTTGATGTTAAAAGGAAAATTAGCTTGTTGCGGCACGCAGTTTCAAATGTTTCCCCTCTTTCACATTCAGGTTTTGAAAGCAGACTTTAGTTTTAAATAGGACTCAGAAAAACTCTTATTACCCTGAATAAAAAAGATCAGAGCCTTTTAATTCTCTGAATGGAGTATTAGCAAGCAGAGTCTGCTCCGCATTAATTACATTTATCCTGAAATCTAGCCCTGACAAGCTCACTTTAAGAGAAAAAAGAGTGACTCTCTCTCTCTAAATAGGAGATGGATGGAGAATACACTTCTTTAGATCAGTGTTTTTCAACCCCTGGTCCTCGGTACACTAGTGTGCCGTTAGTGATGGTCAGGTGTAGAAAATCATCCTATTTCACCTCATTGGTCTAAAAAGACTTTTTGATAAGGAATTAATTATCCGTAAATAATATGCCATTTCTGAGTGTGTGTGCTGTTCTAGTGACTGGTGGAGTAATCATGTAATAATTCCTTATGACTAGATTTTGTATTTAATTTTGTATATTGAAGTGGACATGTTAAGAGCAATTTGAAAGAAGAAATATAAAATATAATAAGAATAATTTTTTTCGTTTATTTGATTCCTATTCAAGACACTTAAGATAAGATAAGAATAAGATAATATTAACTATAGTGTTACTATAGCCGGCTACAGATTTGTTTAAGATTTTTGGTTGGTGTGCCTCGAGATTTTTTCAATGAAAAAATGTACCTTGGCTCAAAAAAGGTTGAAAAACACTGCTTTAGAGTCTAGTCTGGTTGGATAAATGACAGGAACCGCTGTTTAGAGTTTCTTTAGGTAATATTATCTAGTACTTTTCAATAATGACGGACTTCTTTTAGGTTTGCAGCTTGCTTGTAATCTCTCTCCACAGGACTGTTATCTGTGCAAAAACAGAAAGAGGAAAACAAAAAGTTGTTTAATTTCCGCACTCCATTATGCTGACAGATGGTCCTTTTTCACTTTGAGAGTTTCTGCTTTACTTATTTAGAATAGAGAAAACTCTTGTTTCTTTTCTTTAAAATGACTGAGTCATTTCTGAGCAGATTTTGGAACATTAGGCATGTCATAAGGTCTGACACACATTATTCCCTTGTAATGTTTTATGGGTAATAAGAAGAGCAGCATTCCTCTGGTTCCTTTAAAACAAGGATGTGCTCCATTAGAATAAACCCAAATGAAACAGGAAATCAAATCAGTTGAATTAACAAATACATTTTCACATGATATCTCTTTCATCTGACGCCTTGATTCTGTTGCTTTATGTTAAGACCTAAAGGAAATTACTCCCTTAAAAAAAAAACAACACTATTAAAACACAGCAGTTTTTTTTGGCTGATGCTTAAAGATCCCATTTATCATTTGTACAGCTTCTTTCTTTGTTTTCTTAACGCTATAAAGCCAAATGTGTCATATTTGATTCATACGGTTTCTGAAGTCTTTTGGATCTTAGACTTTTTGCATCATTCAGTGGTAAAAGCTTTGCTCAAACCCCTGTTGTACACATTCAGATATACCTGATAACAGCCAGTAGAAGACTACACCAACATAGATTTTTGACTTATTGCACGCTAATTTGATCAATATAATTTCAGTTTTTTTCTTCATTTGTTGTTGAGGGGCAAAAGAAAGACTTCAGAC